AATTCCTGCGCAATTTCTCCGAAATGCATCCTATAAAATACCAAGAGGTTGCATACTCTGCGCCTGTGCTCGAGGCTAACAAGGTTGATTTCAACCAAATCAAGGTCACTAATGGGCCTCTTAGCACGTTTCTGCACTGAGTCCAACGCTGCCTGGTGGCATTTTGCAGCACCAGCCCATATGTGACAGCAGTACTCCATGCACGACCGGACTTGCGCTTTGTATAAGGTAAGGAACTGTCCCGGCGTGAAGTACCACCGCACCTTTGCAAGAACACCAAGTTTCCTTGTGGCTTTGGCTCTGGACTCAATGGCCATAGTTGAGATTCGGAGAAAATTCGACCCCTAACAACTGAAGGCGGTCAGTGTACTCCAGGGATACATTCTGGAAAGAAGTAGCCAGGGTGAGCAGGCTCCTTATAGCGATAAAAAGACACGCTTGTGTTTTGGAGGCGTTGAATCTCACGAGAGTGGCATCGCCCCATTCGGAGACTGCCTGTAGTGTGAGATAAACACGCTCAATCATAGCCTCTCTTTCAGACTGGATTTAATCCCGACTGGCCCGAGCACTTGGTTGGTATCTCTCAACAACTATGCTATCGTCTGCTTATCCATAGATACCGGGCATAATTACCGTTAATACGCAGCAGGAAGAAAGTTGCGGAGAGAACAGACCCTTGAAGAATACCGGCGTTAGTCGCCACAGAATCGAATGAGCAGCTATCGACGATGACCCGGAGAGACCGTTCACTCAGGAAAACCTTTATGCATTCAATTAGACCAGGGGATAACGGGTCGGCACGGCTACCATTTTTAGGCACAGGCTGCACATTGGCCAGCTTCCAAGATTTGGGCACCATTCCAGTCAAGTCTGCATCAACCGCTTTAGAGAGAGACCAAAAAGCTCAACTGAGCTCACAGAGAGCCTTGTACCGATGCGTTTAATGCAGTCGAAACTGGCTTACTGTAACGCCTTTTTGCAAGACTTGGCGGCTTGGTTAAAGGCTATCTTCTTAAGGCTAACATCCGGAGCTTTGCGGTCTCGAGCATTGACCCAGGATAAGTACGCCATATGCTTGTGCTTTTCAGCTCGAGCGCACTCGGCGTTGAACCATGGGCGAGATTTAACACCAATGGGCACGTCAGTGTTGGGGGATGAAATACTCCATCGCTTGACGTATCACATTGGTAATGGTATCCGCGCAGCTCGATGGATCTTCAGATGAGAAGCAGACCTGCCGCCAAGGATAAGATGCAAAGAAATGCCGCATCTCATCCCAGTCTGCTGACTTGTATCGCCACACACGCCGCACACCGTGGAAATCGTAGTTTGGTAGGGAATATAACGACACAGATTTCACTAGACAGTGGTCAGAAGTTCCCAGTAACCTGAACATTGTGTCTGTTTGGATCGGTCGTAAGTAGAAGGTCGAGGCAATTGGCTATGTTGCCCATCCACGTCAGGCAGCCTAGTTGCTTGTTGTAGCAGTTGGGAGAGTTCCAGCGACAAGGCAAAGTTCCACGCCTCTATCCCAGCGTGGTCGGTCTTCTGGTATGGGAACAGCCAGTCCTGACGACAGGCATTAAAGTCCTCCAGAAAAACCAACTGTGCATTTGGGTATCGATCCACGAAAGCCACATCAGAGAGCTTCACTGAGGTGTTCAAATAGCCTAGTTGTCTTCTGGTCACCGCTGTGCGATCGATAGACACAGGAATAAATAATTTTATCAATTCCTGTGTCTATGAATACCCAGATCGTAGAGAAAGTGGGGTCTTTAAGGTGACGGAGACGCTTAAAGCAGATGTCGTTGCGGACGTAAACACAGACTCCGGCGCGCTGATGGAAAAATGTGATGTACCAAGGTACCAAGGTACCTGTAGCGAATGTTTGGTGATTCTGAGTGTAAGGTTACCTGAACTTCAACCCTTCGTCGACACACTCCCAATCTTTACAACGTTGTTAACGAGAGACATGTGAACGATAAATCCATCACCTTCTCGGGACAGATGGTCGCCCTCTGGGCGATAGAACAAGTTGGCGGATTTGAGAGTCACCGTGTCCTCCCCCTCTCTTCGGAACTTAGCACACCCTGCCCCGCCGTTACCATGGACGCCACCGTAGCCAAGAATAGTGGGACAGCCGGGTAATGGGGCCCGTCTCTTCGTAACTCTTTGGGAGGAATATTGCCATAGTCCCCACGCTTGGCTAGCTGTTTGAAGATGCTACTGCCCATCTCCTGCCTATTTCCCTCGTTGCCTTGGCATCGCAATCCTCGATATATCGAAAGATGTGTAGTTTCGTGGTCACTTGGAAGGGAAGGCTTAATTGGCCTCTAAATAGCTTGGCATTCTCAGCAGAGCCGGACAGTATTTCATGCCGGCACACCGCTTGCTACTTAACAAGACTCAAGTTTGACCTCATATAGAATACTGTTCTCATCTCTGGGCCGGGGCAACCCAGTGCTAGCTCCTTCCACTTGACCGCATCCAGCGCAGAGCGGCTCAAAACGTCGACGACCGGGTTCTGTCCGATCGGCTCGATTCATTGGCGTTGCGAAGGGGTATTGCATCCCTTTGAATTTTTTATCGCATCTACCACGGGGAGTGCTCTGAGGAATTGTTCGGTTTAATTCCAGTTGCCAAATTTTGCGTAAGTACATCGCGACAAAACTCATGACATTATCCACACCATCTAAATGCCTGGCGGTCCACCACTGTGCTTCTTACTAGGAGTTTTCTTCCTCGTACTACCTCATTGTGGGATCGTTTACCATCGGCGATTTTTTCGGACTGACACGACTTAGGGACCTTCAAGAAAAGATCTTACTACTTTCTAAAAGGCCGGCAACGCACCTGCAATTCCCTTAGTGTTGCTGTTGTTAATGGGTGGCGGTAGTCACTTACCATCAGGTGAGCCGCATGCTAAGACTACATACTCAGACAGCCACGCCATAATAATATAAGGGGTAGTGGATATTCTTACGCCGCCATACGCTGTATCCTGTATTTGTCTATTATGGCTACGACAATAATTATTTCGGGCTCGAGTTCGAGCTAGGCGTAACGGGCTTAAACAAGCAGAAATATAGCTAGATAGTAATTTATAGGTTCTGAGGACAAATTATATGCTTTTATTCCAACTAAGTAAAATGAAGTTTCATTGCGTAAATTATTTCAGAATTACATCATTCGACCTCTTCTAAGGGCGTCTCGAACGGGCTCGCTTGTGTAATGAAAACCAGCCGCACAGGCTTCGGCGTCGCTTCGTGGGAATATCTAAATATCAAGGCTTTGTTTAATGGCTTGTTCGCCGTCTACTCTTATGCGCGTGCGTAATGAATTTATTTGGGAATTATTAAATTGCCAATGATCTTTTGTTTATGTAAACTTTGATATCACTTTGTTTATATGTAAAAAAATCTCACTTATTTGTTAACTTAGTGCACATATGTATATAAACGTACACATACAAAATAATAATTTGTTAGCAAACAATTAAGATGCCTTACGCCTGTAATATGATTAGATATAACTCCAAGCAATTGTATCAAAAATATGGATTTAGATTTAAGAGACTTTGGAGAATACAACAAAATTTATTTTGTGCCACTATACCCACAAACAAAAAGTTATTTAGAGTTAAAGGAAACATTTTGGGTATTATTTTTATTTAAAAAAAAAGTCATATGTAACCAACCGTGACATTTGAGACAAAGGGTGGTATGGGTAGAGCCTAGCTAATGACTTCCCAGTCCTATTGTGTCTGTCCATACGCCAAACAGCCTGTATATTATGCTACGATTTTATTAAATCATACTTCTTGTGTTTTCTTATCTCTCCTTATTTATTCTCGAACGTCATCACCTTTTAAAAAAAATTAAAGTACCTATGTAATTAAGCACGAGGTGTACCTTTTCGTACGTGGTAGAGCCATGCTGCAGTGTTTCGTATGGTGATTGAAGAGGACCGGAGACCTTTTTTTACTGGAAATGGGGCATTCCATCTTAGTCCTCAAGGGTGACAACGCATTTTGATTCTTAACCGAGGATAGATGATAAATGTACACTTACTATCAGGTGGACTCTGTGCTCGTTTAACACCTTAACCCACAGAAAAAACCGCTTCGTCATACTTTGATCAGCAAGATAACAGATCTTTGCGTAAAAAGGTTCTTTAGAAGATATCGCTTTTAAAGCGATAAGACCGCCTATTGTACGTTGTCTACAGATATAGTAGGTATATAATTTTTTGTTTGAATATGTTGTATTGTTTTCTCGTACATTTACTAAAGTTTATGGTAGTGGTGTAAACGAATAATATATTGTTTAATTACTTTACACCTATAGTAGGATTTTCTCCAGTATCGTGGAAGTAGTTTATTAAATATATAAATTTCGTAAGGACACACATCCAAACTCGGAACAATTATTTGCACACCATACAAACATTTTGTTCCGTATGGGATTCGAACCAAAAAGTTTCGTGGCAAACGCGCTGGAGTTGGATTCAATACAATTTTATATAATTGCCTAAATTCGCATAGGAATTAATTACGTACATTTCTATTTTTAAAGATATGCATTACCTACTTTAGTTCCTTTTTACACTAATTTTAGTAATTACACTTTAACATAGCCAACACGTATATTAGGTTAACCTTAATTATTTTTATATTTTGGTTGGTTAAAAAATTCATAGAAAATAAGGTCAAAACAATAAGGTACTTTTTTATAGGAGAGGGGGCAAATGAGTCAGTGATTACGGCCGCCCATGAACAACTGCAACACCAGGGGAATTGCAGATGCGTTGCCGGCCTTTTAAAATTTCGTATGTATAAATAGAATGAAATAAAATTGATATGGATAAAAATAATTTAATGAACTTAGAGTAATGTTTCTTAAACAACAATAGAATTCATTACATATCACAATATCGATATGAACCGGAATATCGATTTTCAATCGAATCTGAGTTCTTGTTTCCTATGTTTTGACATAAGATCAGTGGTGGTAGATGGGACTAGAATAGGTGTACACTGGAGCGGCGATTTTAGCCACGGGGGCCGTGTAGGCCACTGGGGCAGCGATTTTGGCAACTGGAGCAACAGCGGCCACTTTCACGCCGAGGGCTTCTTTTCGTACGACCGCGTTGAAACCGTTGTGGGGGTCAGAAGTGTAGTCGACAGTGCGCTTGGTACCATCGGGGTCGACGACTGAGTAGGAGCCCTTAACGACATCGCCGTCACGAGTTTCATACTGAGTTTTGGAGTCTCCGGTAAGCCCATCTTGTACGTCGTACGCGAAACTGTACTGTGGATGTGAGTCATACTCTTCAACAGCAACCTTGGCGATGGGGGCAGCGTAGGCTACGGGTGCGGCGTGAACTAAGGGGGCGGAGTGCACCACAGGGCCTGCGGCGTATGATAGCGGTATACTTGGGATTAATCCAGCGCTGGCGGTAGCAACTAGACAGGCGAGGACAACGTACTGTAAAAAATAATAAAAAATAACATGTTACAAATGGTTTCGTACATGCAAAAAGACAACAATTTTTATTTTGTTAAAGTACCTTAAATGCCATTGTTTAAGCGTATATTGCAAGAGGAACTAGAATGATGTCTAATTCAAAGCGTAAGGAGCTTTTATACTAAAAATGGGGGTACACCCTTTCACCAGCGGAACGCCTTGACGTCACGCGACCGTGAACAGGAGCCCCGGGGCTGTCTAAAAATTCAGCGCTTAAAAGATCTGTTATCAATGATCACTTTAGTTCCGGTAAATTTAATAAGCCTTGAGTAAATAATAATAAATTTGCCGATGCCGATATTGCAATAATGTATTGGTATATTACATAAAAAGGTTTTTGAATTCTATGAATGTAATGTTAAAGAGGTTTAATATTGCATTAGAAATTATTGTTAGGAATAAAACTAGGATGTGTCCCTTAAATTATAAATTGAAGTTATAAGTTGCACGTTGAGCTGATACATGTACGGGAGTTTACCCACCGAGTGTGCTATCTTTGTTTTCACAATGTGTGGAAGTTACTGATGTGCTACAAGGACTGCACGTCTAATAAGCACCGGCACTGGTTAGGGGTGACATTTTATATGATAAAAGTAATTCCCTATTCCACTAGCAGCAACTATTTTTAATGAGACGGACAGTGTGCTTAATTCTTACCTAGAAAATATTCAAATATGCATGGCACACAGTTCTGATTCCCCCGATTACCACGTTGACATAAGTGTTATGAATATCTGGGGACATCGTTGCGAACCACTTTTAAGACAATACGGATATTGAAAGAGAGCCGAGAGCTCTGGCGGTTGCACACTTTTGGGCTTACAAATTTCCTCTCAGGTTTTGTACGGAATAAGTAAAGATCACTTACTTTAAAGCATATTCAAGTAAAAAATCTAAGTAGTGTGAATTAAGCGGAAAGTGATCACAGAAATAAGCTAGGCTAGATTGCCTTCTGCGCATTAGAATGATACTCGAACTTTTTATTACTCGTTTTTCTTATCTTACTTCTTTTCGTTACTTAAAACAAAAAAAAAATGCCTAAACTAAATTTGACATTTTTTTTCTTTTATTGTTATTTAAAACATAGCATTGAGAAGAATCTTCCCAGACAGTAGGATCTTTTACTGCTGACTATGTAAGGAAGTCTAAGTCCCTTAGGGTGCAAAAGCGAGGAATGGGTTAAAGTGCTCGGTGAGCCGCTTGCAATCGTAAAGAAGACATTTAAATTAGAGTTCCAAATTTAGATTAGCAAGACCAGTAAGCTAAAGTGGCAATTTTTGTTGTATGTGCTGGGAACCGATGTGGGAGAAAGCTCCTAAGTGACGTTACAGTCCGCGGTCCAAATAGATAAGAGCAAATTAATTTCTGGATTTGGATTTCGCCGAAAGTTACGAATATGACAAAAACTATAAGTATTCAACTCGCACATCTACCATTGAAGAGTGATGCGATGAACGTTTATATGCGCTTTTAGAGGATTTTATCTCTTAAAATATTGCAGGAATATATAAGTACGTTAGGTATTAGGAGGATTTTTTTACATACCTATAAATAGTTCTCTGGTGTCCTTCAAGCTGGAATATCACCAACGATATCCCATAATTTTATTATGTTTTATTAAATATGTAGGTATGCGATTTACGATTATTAAAAGGTAATTATACCCAATTAATTGTATACATCACCCCATGTCACCCGTGGGAAGCGTAAGAGGTGCTAAAGAGGAGCTAAAAAGATCTTATGGATTCCGATAGATGGCGGTATTATCTCTTTAAGGTCTCTATGGTATTTCCAATGTTGTTTCATACTACTCCTATAGTACGAAATAGGGTCATTGATACTCTCACACCACACTTCACACCTACACGACGCGGCATATTAAATCACGCCACCTTATTTACATTGTATCGTATATAATAATTCACTTAACAATTCTTGCTACCTTTGTCACTTCATCGTGTGATTTATTTCTTATTATTACTAAAAGGTACGTAATTTTAATAGTTAGCGAACTGAGTCTAGAAACCAGCTATTAATTATTTACATCATTCCAATGGACGTTTTATAAAATATATCTTTTAGAAGGCAATATATGCTACGTGATTATTTTCTTTTTCCTTTATTAATTTGTCACATGCAGTTTAGCATTAAGATCGCTGTACTTACATCAAAACTTTGTAAGGTAATTTTTTTACAGTAAGGTTGCCATTAAGTTCCGATTGATAAGTTTAGGCTGTTTTTTAAAACTTACAGTCACGAATTAATCACTAAATCTTGACACATATTTCACAGCAAAAGAAAGGCGTTATGGAGTTATTATATGATACATAGAAAGTATAATTATTCTATGCTCACCAAGATATATGATTATGCGGTTCTGTTGGAGCAATTTGTTTTAATCTCGGTATATGAAAGTCACCAATTAGTCACTAAACCTTTAAATAGGAGTCACATCTCGGACGCAGATAATAATCGTTGTTTTTGGGAGGAGGCTGCTAGCTTGAATTTAAGCTAGAATCCTCCCAAAAATGGCTATATCTCTAAAAGTATTAAGTTACTAATTTTATTTCACTTTAAGTCACTAATTGTCACCTATTTCTCATAAAATCTTGACATAATAAAATTTAGGATATCGTTGGGGATAATTTCAGCTTGAAGGACGCGTTCCATTCTAAGCATGGAGCTTTCGTAAGTTCGAAGGACTATCCCTCAGGATTATGATGTAATCGCTCAAGATAGGGCTTAAGTATGAATAATATTCACGATAATCTCGTTCTCGCCTTTCCACGAGGTAGGTAGTTGCATAAAATAATCTACGATATTATTAGATGAATCTAATTTTTACGGATTTTATCCTGTTTACTATAACTTATTAATTCTCGACGTTTTATGAGCTTTACAGTACCCATGGTCAGGGGAGGAGGACTGAGTTGTTTGACGTCTCGATGTCATAGTTAGCCTCATAGGTCCGATCTACGTAGAATGAGCTTACAGTATCTTGAAGTCTTGCACACGATCCCAAGCAGATGGTAGTGTACACATCCATCTTCTCTATTGAAATTAGGATGTTTTTTAATTTAAATTGTCTCGCGAATCATCCTAGGAATCAGTGTTTGCGAGGCTTTGTGGTCTATTAAATTTAATGTAATAGCGGAGTCGATCTTGAACATATTCAGACTGCAGACTTCCCGTAACGTCGGTGCATCACGTCAGCTATATGTTCTTTTACGCGAGCTCTTAAAGATCTTTCGATGATTTTGATCTAAAAATTGTTCGCGTAAATAAAAGAAATCATAATCTATGGTATCGTCAGAGATTACCTAATTAAAGAAACCTTTAAAGAAAGATCTTGTGGCCTCCGTTACTTGGTAATTGACCAATTTATACATGATTTAAAAATAAAATACATAGACCGTTGACAGAACTCAGCGTTATCATCATCATCGTCATCATCATTACAGCCCAAGTAACATCATGTTCATCATCACCATCAGCAACATTACTGACACAAGTCCGTCAGCATGATCATTAAAGACACAAGTCCACTGCTGAACATAGTCCTCCTCCAAGGTATACCACAAAACACGGTCCTGAGCCACCTGCATCCATCAAATCCTGCATATCTTACTAGGTCTTTACTCCATCTAGTGGGGTACGTACGCCCTACACTTCACCTGCTGGTACGAGGCTGCCGCTCGAGAATCTATTTTCCTCATTGGTTATCGGTTCTTCGAGCTATATGGCCGGCCCATTGCCACTTCAGCTTATTAATCCATTGGGCTAAGTCGTCAAGCGAGATACAAAGAGAATATAATCACTACGCGAGATATTTGATACTACGATGGCTAATCTGTCAGACAAACGTGGCGATTGGGGCACATATTCTATACTTTGATGAAGTCCTTATTCAACACTCTTAAAGGTTTAAAAAATATTGAAGGTTTTAGTTAATAAGTTTTGATTCTAATTAAAACTGTGGCTACTGCGCTAAATATCAGAAAAGCTTTTTATACTTCAAAGCAAATATGTATATGTATAAATTTTCTTAACACACCTCATATTTTATACAATTTGTCCTAAATTTTGTGGCATGTTTCATATAACGATACTAGCTTGCCAGGCAGGCGTTGTTCTGCCCTTTTTGACAATCCTTTGTCATGTCTTATTAAAACTTCTTATATTCGCAAAAGAAAAAATTGTGGGTCACTCACAAAAAACAGCAAAAAACTACAGTGTGCAAAATTTCAATGAAATCAGTTCAGTAGTTTAGGAGTTCATCGCGGACAAACAATGTGACACGAAATTTTTATATATAAAGGCGAAACATGTGTTTACAGGTGCTTGATTATAAAATTTAAAACTTAAGATTCCGGTATGTAAATAAAAATAAATTCACAAATGTATGAAAAAATTAATTTATTAGACATATCTATAAATAAGAACCATAACTAAACGACTATCGATATATCGCGTGACTTTTTAATCGTAGTTTAATATTTGTTTCCTATATATTGGCATCAGTTCAGTGGTGGTAGATGGGAGCAGAGTAGGCGTAAGCTGGGGCGGCGATCTTAGCAATAGGTGTCGCATGAACAATGGGGGCGGCGTAGGCGACTGGAGCAGCGATTTTGGCTACGGGAGCAACGGCGGCCACCTTCACACCGAGGGCTTCTTTTCGCACGACTGCGTTGAAACCATTGTGGGGGTCAGAGGTGTAGTCGACAGTGCGCTTAGTACCATCGGGGTCGACGACTGAATAGGAGCCCTTAACGACATCGCCGTCACGAGTTTCATGCTGAGTTTTGGAGTCTCCGGTAAGACCATCTTGTACGTTGTAGGCGAAACTGTACCGTGGATGTGAGTCATACTCTTCAACGACAACCTTGGCGATGGGGGCAGCGTAGGCAACAGGTGCGCTGTGAACTAAGGGGGCGGTGTGTACCACAGGGCCTGTGGCATATGACAGTGGTGCAGCTGGGATTAAGCCAGCGCTGGTAGCAGCCACCAGACATGCGAGGACGACACACTGTAAAAATAACATGTTAGCAATACGTAAGTTGTAAAACATTTGAAAAATTTATGTTTTGATTAGCAGTAGCTAAATACCTTGAATGACATTTTATAAGCGTATATTGCACGTAGATTTCGAATGATGATTGAAGAGAAACGTAAAGAGCTTTTATAACAACGGGGGTATACCCTTTCACCAGCGAGCCACCTTGACGTCATATGACCATGAACAGGAGTTCAGAGATAGATCTGAAATTACTGCACTTAGGAGCCCCATTATCTGTGAACAATTTAATCCCTGAAAAATATACTTACGCTATACTTAACAAGGATTAAAAATTAAATTTTCAATATAACGTAAAGACTGACTTTAATAACAAAAAAATTATAAAATAATCGCCTCATCTTATGCTCATGTACCAAAGTATTAAAGTCTCACTTGTTTGTTTTTTCTTTTTCTTACAGTTTGGTTCTTTAGTCGACGTTTTCTTTTTGTTAAAAGTTTAATCGTTTTTAAGGCAACAACTAGAATGTCGTCTTAACTGTTGAATTTTGAAGGATTTTCCTTCTAAATTTAAAATGGCGATGATTTTAAATTAGGATCTGTGAGTATACTCAACCCTGTTTAGTGCTTCGAAAATCTAGCCTCCTCCTTTTTAAGTAGGTTAATAAAATATAATATTACGTATATAGATAACTTGCATAAATACGATGAAAAATGATCATTAACAATAATAGTTTTTTTTCCTCATTTAACATTAAAATAACTGATTTTAAAGTAATACTTCAAAAAGTAATATTTTTGCAATGGTGAATTTCATATTGTGATTTTATTCATATAATTCTCAGACTAACAAAAAAAAAGGATGATACGCACTCATGTACACATATATTTACTTTTTATCTATAATAGCCTGAAAATTTTTCTTTCTGGACACAGATATATGTAACCTAACCTAAAACCATTCTGTTGTTGAGTGCGCGTTCTTACAATGACTTGAGCATGATTTTGGCTTAATTTTTATGTCAATTGAAATGTACCCAACACTCTGTCTTTCTTATTTGTTTGGTCTGAGATTCAGCATCCATTTTCTATTTGTTTACCTCAAAACTCAAAAGGATATTTCATTGCTTGAATTTGTATCGTCCTTATACGAGAAAGAATATATATTCCTATAAGGCCGACAAAAATTCATTGTTTATTTTTACACTTTAAAGTATTTTTACGCACTTATGATTATCGTAGTTTCCAGCCTTCGTAAAACTTGACAAAGGTACCGTAAACTAGTCCTTTCTACTTATTGAAATCACACACAGCCTAGAGCTGTCGTGAATTTGCTCGTTACGTAGTATTCATCATTATATCCCTTTACAAGTCCTTGTAAAGGCCCCCTACAAAGAATGCCACAAAGCACGGTCCTGCATCCATCGACTTCCTGCATGTCTTACGGGGTCGTCATTCCATCTAGTGGGGGAATGCCCCACACTTCGCCTGCCATCCATCCATTCCATCCATCCATTGACTCTTCAGCATACTCAGCCGTTGGGTTATGCCAAAGAGTACAATCTGTTACTTTGTTTGCGTTTGTGGACTATAAGAAAGCCTTTGTTTCCGTCGAAATTTGAGCGGTACTACAGGGTGTTAACGTCAATGGCGAGTACATCGCTCACCTTCGATTTGTCGACAATATAGTTTTTATGGCAATATCGCTGGAGGACCTAAGCAATATACTCAATGACCTCAGTAGTGTCTCCCAACGGATAGGTCTTAAAATGAACATAGACAAAACGAAAGTCATGTGTAACGTCCGTGTCACACTTATGCCGGTAGTTGTGGGGAGCACTAAGCTCGAATACATACATACATAAATATAAACACTCACGCCTGTCACCCAGAGGGGTAGGCAGAGACTACAGACTTCCGTTTGGCACGATCCTGACACACCTCTCTCGCCTCCTTCACATCCATACACCTACGCATACATACTCGTCAGTTAAGGGTACTCCTAATTTGGCCCGTTTTCAATAACTACGCTCTAACTAAGCTCGAAGTTGTTGATGAATATGTTTGCAAAAGATCATTCGACGGATTCAACTCGAACAAACAACCACAAAAGACGTGCTCTCTGCTCAAGCCAAGGCCGCGAACTAGAGAGAACAAGAAAGAGAGAGAAAGCCGAACCGCGAAAAAAAAAAAAAAAACCTTTTTTTTTTAAAATTAATGTTTTGTTTTTAAATTATTTAAGATATTTGGTGTGTTTTCGGTTACTAGGTAACATTTTCACAACATACAGAATATTGTTCATCGGGGTGTCCTTATTTGTATGACATCACCCGATGCGTTATGGGAATATAATGCTTTTGTGTTATCGCTTTTATTTCAGGAAAGATGAATATGATGATGATGACCACGATAATTCGAAATATGGTCTATATTTTTTAACGTCCGTGGATCCAGGCAGGAATGACGTGTAGTCAAATATGTGATAAAATATCGACGTGTGAAATAACGAGTTCGCCTCGTCCGCTTACACCTATATCTTGCCTCGACGCAGATCAGTGAGCGGAGCTGCATTTAATCCAAAGACAAAATGTAGTGGAGGCGCGCCTTTAGAATGCTGCCACGATCGTACCGCAACTCCGTTTGTGTTGGCAATTACGCTTTAAATTACACCTTGTTGGAAATACTAAATAGGGACCTTGCGCTGCTTGAGAATATAAAGACGAATTTGCTAAGGCCGAGTCACTAAAAAGCCTTCAATATAACAACACAGTATATTGAAAATTAACACAGCTTTTGTTTTCTAGTAAAAGTAATGTATACTCGTGACGTTCTTGGTTTTAAAGTAGCAGAGTGCAGTTACGCTATTTCTTATGCACAGGTTACATAAACTTAGTTTATCAAAATGAATGAAATGAAGTGAAGAGAGGAGCTCTATAAAATAATACTATTATTATAGGTGGAATAGTGTATTCTGCGCTTATTTTTATGTGTAAAATTCTGGTGTGCGTGTGTTCGTAATTTCTCTCCTCCGTTTAGGAGGTTTGACCGATTCTGATGAAACTTTTATAGGGTACTTAACTGGATGGTTTTTAGCTATAGTTGGACCAAGACCAAGTTGTCAATATCCAAAAGTCTTCCGTGCGAAGCCAGGGTAAATCGCTAGTAAAATAATAGATTTATAGTTGGTTGAAATGTAGACCAGTAAATTTCATGCAATATATGTAAGTAGGCAATGAAAAATATACTATTTAATTATAGGTTCGATGTTAAGACGTATCGCCATTCTCAAAAGCTAATAAAATTAATCAAAACAATGATTATTTAGATACAGTACCGGATGAGCTTAATTGACCCTACACACGGTCAGTTCAACTGATCATTCCAATTGATAATTTTAAACTAAAACTGTTGATATTTTTTAAAATATTGAATTTTTACAGCCCTAATTTGAACTGATCAGTTGGAACGATCGATCAGTTCAAACTAAAACTGTTGATATTTATTAAAATTTTGTATTTTCGATATATCGAGAAATAAACTTATATATAAAACTCCTATATTGATATATTTATGATTATCGATATACTTATCGAATGTCCGACATTTTAAATATATCAACAGTCCTAGTTTGAACTGATCAGTTGGAATGATCAGTTAAACTGACCGTGAGTGTCGTCGAACAAAATCTGCGTAGGCAGAAGAAAGATAGTTTTGTAACGCAAACTAATGTGTTAATAAAACCTGGGTAGATACAACTAAAACTTTAATAAATTGATAATAAAATTGTATAAAAGAGAATTGTGCGTAAATTGGCAGAAAAATACTAAAAGACAGGGTACAAAAAGCTCATCAACACTACACGCGCTTTAATTATGTTATGTATGATAGTACATAGCATGATAATATTATTAAGTGTTCACATTAAAAGTTCAATAGTTGCTTTAAAATTGATATACAGTATTTTAATGCATGTTGTGTTTATTATTTTGTAACTATGGAGGAATCACTAGATGATTTTAAATATTCTCTTAATACTTATTGCCGGGATAAAGAAAATGACTTCTAAAATAAACTACTTTTTAATTAGATTAAGGGTGATAAACGAGTACACAGTTCACTTGATGGTAAGTGGATGCTGTGGCCCATAGTGATCTATATTTAAGAATCAAAATTCGGATGTGTTTTTATGCGTAAGGATTAAGATAGAATGCTTCGTTTTCAGTAAAAAGGTTCTCAGGTTCTCTACAATCACCTTACGAAATACAGCAGCCTAAAACTGCTATTTTACGTTGATATTCTGTGAAAACGTGGTCCTATCCCGGTCGAGTCGATCAATTCGTGCTGCAACGAAATATAGCTGAAGCGTGGGTTGTCCACGATAACGAACACGTTATTATTTTCATTCACATACTAGTGACCCGTCCGGGTTAGCTTGGATAGGGTCTATTAATGTGGCATTATTTAGATTTAAGATATTTAAATACCATTTATTATATCAATATTTCGTTTTGACTGAAATAATCTTCCAGTTTTCGGATAAAATATAGTCTAGATCTATTGTGTACCCTATACCCTCCAGGTTTTCCTCTCTGTCTGTTATCTATGTTTTAACGCATTCGGTTCACCAATTCCGAAGATTAGCCTGGACGGCCAGAATTTTTTTTAAAAATGGTTTTTATTTTTTTGTTTGTTACAGCCTATATTATACGTGCACAGGCCTCCGCTCATTACTGAGAGGGTTTTAGGACAAGGAATTGTCCGCCGCGCTGCCCCAATGCGTGTTGGCGAACTTCACATGTCTTCGATATATTTATTTTTCGTATTTCTCTGACATGCAGGTTTCCTCACGATTCCTTCACCACTGAGAATGTGATAAATCAGCACATAAAATTGCAATTAATAATTTCATTTGTGCCGGCAGGGATCGAACCCGATTTTGCTCGCGTACTGTGAGAGGAATTAGTAGTATAGTGACACTAAAAGATTCTTATTTCCACTATGTTATGGCCACAGCAACCACTTACCATCAGGTGGACGTGTGCTCGTTTGTCACCCTATCCTATAAAAAAAAAAAAAAAAAAAAGTTTACAGCGTGCGCTAACCA